ATCTGTTGTGGAAGATAATTCCACAATTGAGCTGCGGAGTACGCTAAACTTGTTTTGTAAAGGTCTATCCTAGGTTTAGGGATGTGTAATATGTTCAGGCGATTACTATGCCTTTTATTATATTTAAACAACGGCCATAAGTAACATGGAGCCTTTTGGGATAATATTTTGTGCATAAATTTCGCCTTATTGAAAAATAGACGTTCACGAAGCGGTAGTAGCATAAGGCCTTTATACGTTTCGGAACTCACTGTCCTATGATTATTACTTATTAAGCGAATGGCGCGCTTTTGCATAGACGTGAGCCTCTTGATAACAGAATTGGAACAACCATCCCATATTGTAGAACAATAGTCTATATATGTCTGGATGTGAGAAATATAGAATATCTTTCTTGTGTTTTCGTCAAGAAAGTTTTTAATTTTTGAAAGCTGGTACACCTTTTTAGCTGTTTGCTTCACAAGTGCTTGTACGTGTGAGTTGAAGGTTAGATTTGCATCAATGGTCAACCCCAGTACTTTGTGCTCAGTTACACTTTCCACTTGAGTCCTCCCAATGTAGAGTTTAAGCGTTCTCTGTGAATTTAGACTACATAGTTTTCTGTCTCGTTGTTATTAGCATAGATTTTGTTTTATTAATGTTTATTTGCATACGGTTTGCACTGCTCCATTTAGCTACATTGGTTAGTTCTTGTTGTAATGATGACTCTAGTGCACTGCTCGTTTGAGCATTTGCATAGATGGTACAGTCGTCTGCGAATAGATCGCAGGACGACGTCAGACATAAGGGAAGATCATTTATGTAAATATTAAATAACAGAGGGCCGAGAATCGAGCCCTGAGGCACCCCAGTATTTAAGCTAGTTGTCTGCGATAGGGATTTATTGTAAGAGATTATTTGTTTTCTATTTAACAAAAATGATTTTATTAGCTTTAATAGTCTAGGGTTAAATTTCATTGTTTCTAATTTTCTAATAAGAATTTTATGGTCTATCATGTCAAAAGCCTTTTTAAAGTCTATAAATACCCCTCCACAAATTTTCTCATCATTAATATTCTTATGCCAGTTTTCTATCATGTTTGTTAAGGCAGTATGGCACGAATATTGTGGTCGAAACCCTGATTGGTTATCGATTATAAGTTTGTTGCGATCTAAATATTGAAATGTTACTTTATGAATATGTTTCTCTAGTGGTTTTGATAGAGATGATAATAGGGAGATGGGTCTATAGTTACCTGGGATGCTACTGTCTAAGGAACCAGATTTTAGGTGTGGATAAACTTTGGCAATCTTAAATGCCGACGGGAAGTAGCTTTTAGCAAGACATTGATTGTAGATAAAAGTCAATGACTCGCAAATAGCTGGTGCAGCACTGCGAAGGATCCTATTGCTGATTCCGTCTAAACCGGACGCATTGCTGTTTCTGAGGCTGTTGAGATGTGTAAACACATCAGCCACTGACATGAAAGGTATGTCAGAAGGAATATCTTCGGAGCATTTATTTTCACAAAATGATGAGAGCAGGGATAAATCACAAGGACAATTTGGTATTGTGGCTTTTAATTGTTCTATATCGGCTTCAAAGAACTTACTAAAATCATCTGATGTTATGTTAGATGTCCGTAAACGCGTTGAAGTACCTTTTTTGGTCAATGTATTAATTGCCTTCCATATATCTTTGGTGTTTGTTTTATCTACTATTAACATTTTAAAAAAGTTCTTCTTCTCCTTACGAATGGCATACTGGACTTTGTTTCGCAGACCTCGGTATTTGATTAAATCTTTATTTTTATGTGCATTATCTCGCTCTCTCATAACTTCAACTACTTCCTGGGTGATCCATGGGGATTTAGTCTGATGTTTTACGCGGACCTCCTTAATTGGCACATGTTTATCAAATACGCAAAAGAAGGTCTTCAGCCAATATTCAAGTGCGTCATCTGGGTCAGGAAGTTGATAAACATGGCCAAAAGGTGAACTGAGCAGGTCCAGTAGGAATGTATCTTGATTAAAATTTTTGTAGCTTCTAAATTTAACGCTTATATGTTTTTGTTTGGTAATTTTCGTTCCTATTTTATTCCACACACACGTTACGGGGTAATGATCGCTCATTGCTGTAGTGGGTACCTTGCATTCTATGATGTTATTAGGACATGTTGCATAAATGTGGTCTATAAGTGTTGACGATGATTTTGTTATTCTAGTAGCTTGATTGACTAGCTGTTGGAGATTGTATGAGGCAGTTATGTCTTCCCACGTCTTATTGGATTTTAGGGCGTTTATATTAAAGTCCCCGAGAAGTATCATTTCTCCTACATTGTTGAACACTGTATCCATCATGACGGTGAAGTTTTCATACCACATGTTACTAGCACTAGGGTTCCGATAGAGATAGCTAACTACAATGGGTCTGTGATTTTGTAGCTTAACTTCCAAAACTATGCATTCTACCTCCTTAGTCTCTAAGTCTAGTCTACGGTGAACATTTAGTGAATCACTGACGTAGACCGCTATACCCGTCTCTTGTTTACAATGTGGGTCTCTTCTAATAACTCTAAAACCGTTGATATGTATATCATCATCTGTAATGTTGTCATTTAATCTACTCTCACTAAGGCCGAACATGTGAAAACCTTGACTAAGAATAAGGGACAGTTCGGGCAGTTTTCCCAGAAGATGGCATATATTCAAATGTCCTAATTTAAGCCCAGTTTTAGTGAGCCAATGCTCACGTGTGTCAGACATATCAATACAGTACAATATCGGTTCTGTCAATACCACAGTATTTTTTAAAACTGCAACAATAACAATAATTATGACAATAAGCAAGTAAAATTAGTTACAAAAACACATTATTAATGGGAGTAAAAGAATAAACGACTGAAATGAGAGAGAGTATAAAGGAAAGTTGAATTAAAATTTCTCAACTCACATACACCACCACCTCGCTTACAGTTAAGCAGATTTAAGCAGTATTATAACTAGCCCAAATAGTAGACTACAAATGTGTAACTCGATATCCAAGTCAGTGTTTATAAATGTATCTGTGTGACCCACTGCTGATCCAGTGGGCAGAACAGTAACAGTGAAATAAACGCAGAATATAAGAATGTAAGAATATAGCAAATATATTATTATTATTATTTAAAAAATAGTAATAATATAATAGATTTCAATAGAAGATTTTACTAAGTTGCTACGCTAACAACAGTAATAGGGGAAAAAAATACTAAAACCAGAGAAAGAGAGAGAGAGAAAAAATAATAAAACAATAATGTTTTAAGCAATTGACACACACTTCCACTTCACTTACAGCTAAGCAAAGTTAAACAATAATAAAACACGCCTAAGAGATGGACTAAGCACTGCAATTTTTCACACAAGTCAATGTTTGTATCTGTAGTCGTGTGACCCACTGGTCGAGTGGCAACACGGTAATAAGCAATATATATATATATAAGAATATATAAAACGCTTAAGGTATAGGCTTTTTCAGCTGAGATACGGTATACGGTTTTTCTTAACGGGTGTGGTATCCAGCTGGTGTATACTGCAAAGACATCATGAACGCTTGTCGGAGAATTCCTGGACTAAAGCGCATGAGATGAAGAAGGTCTGGATTCCAGTTCAGTGGATACTTTTGTCGTTCAGATATGTAGCTGTTTGTAAGTGTAGTCTCCAGTCCTTGGTTGGCAGAAGCCTGGTGAATACCGGTGGTGTTTTCGACGGGAGTTTCCCTGCTAGGAAGAGGAGGAAACGTGTCTTCATAGCTATCCCCCTCCTGTGCAAAGGTGGGTGTATGATGTTGTGGTCTATTTCCATGTGGTGGCATGTATCCTCTCGGGGTGGAGGCAGATTGGGCGTCAGGCTTGCGCGAACTTGTATAAATGGTGGCTGATTTACATCTTTTGGCATAATAATCTGACGGAGTAGAGACAATTGTTCTATGCACTTCTGTGTTGGGTGTATGCAATGTTCTGGCTGGATACTTGATATTTTTGGCTAGAAGGCTGGTGCCCAAAATGGACGTGTGGATCTGATCCTTATACAAACTCTTTTTTGGTGCACCAGACTGTGCTGTAAAGCACGGTGTGTTATTTATAAAAGTTAACTTGTTGTGATGGCAAAAGTTCTCCAGAGTTTTGTTGTTTATGTCTGCCAGGCCACGCTGAGAACCCGAGCAGGGCGGAATTATGGACGAGAAAAATGTAGAGGATTTAGGAAAAGTGTGACGCAATAAATTTAGTAAAGTCCCCAGCTGAGAAGCCGTGACACGTTTGTCATTCATCGTGTCATTTATTCCTATGTGTACGGTGGTTTTCTCTATGTTGTTGTTTTTTGGTAATCTGCGTACCCAGTCTACTAGTCTATCCACTCCAGCACCTGGTAGCGGAATAACGGACACTGCATCATTGTCTGATGTGGTCATTCTGTCACCGTACACACCTTTCATTAGAGAGTCCCCAATAATTAGGTGCGTACAATTAGATCCTATCATTTGCGTCTGTTGCTTGAGAGAGTGTCTTGACTGCCGCTTTTGCCATTGATGGCTTTCATTCAGAAGCTCATAGGATGTTTTGTCTACCTTTGCGCTGGATGTTGGCTCTGTGTGGATGGACTGTTTACTTTCTGACTGACTCAGCGAGGCATCAAACCTATTGGTGATTTTGACGTCAATAGGGTAGATATTACGTGTACCCTGTTCAGTTTTGTCAAGTCCATTTGCCTTTACTTCTGGACATTTTGCCCCTGAAGTTGGATGGACAGTAATGGGGCTGTCAGTTTGGACTGCCAGCTCAGCAACTAATGCAGGTTGCAAAGGTTCTGCAGGATGTTGCTCATTTGCCAGTATTGTCCCCTGTTTCACAACCGAGAATGGTTGAACAGGGACTGGGCTGCCAGTTTGCGTACCTATATTAGAAGCTGAAGTAAGTTGTAGCGATTCAACAGTTCGTCTCAGCGATACGTTCTCTTCTTTTAGGAGCTTTATTTCAGCTTTGAGCTCATGTTGATCAGCACTGTTCTGATTGTTTCTTTCAGTGACAGAGGCAACTGTGGCAATAAGTGTCTTTAGGCTTTTCTCTAGATCTCCAATGCGACTCTGGCAATCACATGTTGGGATGTTGATGACAAAGGCGTTCTCTGGGTCTGCCAGAGTGGTGGTATTTTCGTTTGGTTCAACTTCAACATCTTTGGCAAGCACCATTGGGTACTCGATAGCTAGCAGAGCCGGTCGACCTGCAGCTACTGAAGTGTCATCACATGCAGTGATTTGCAGTAAGTTACCACTATTAACTAATGTACTGTCCATCGTTGTAAGAACTGACTGAGCAGGTGTGGGCTATCTCAATTAAGCTGGATATGTTGGAAACAAGGGGTGTATTTAAATACTCCCTACATGTTTGCTGGGCTGTCTTTTCAAGTTCGGAAAATTCGTTATCCAACCAGGCACGAACCGCAATGCAAGAGCCCTGAGCCAACAGCTTGTTTTTGGTGTGATAGAGGTGAATTGTAATGACTGGTGTGATTATTTTGTCCTCTACGTGAGCTCCTTGCTTATCTGTCCTGCTATCGATGTGCTCCTGTTGATAGGATTTCAGGAGACAAGACCGAAACACCTCATAGTGCAATGTGTTATTAAAGGTGATTGTTACACATTTACCCTCATTGGTGTGCTTGAAAATAATGTCTGGGACATCTTGACACTTGTTGAGCTTTCGACGAACAGAACGCGCTGTGTCGAGTGTGTAGTTTTTAGTAACGCCTGGACGCAAACCAGCTCGTCCCCTGCCACCCTCGGTGAACTCCGCAACCGAGGTCTCACTGTCAGACATGACTAGAGGCACGACAGGTCAAAGGTTCAATAACACAACTGTTCCCCATTCAAAACAGTCAAGGTGGCCACACATTCCAACACCTGTGTTGAGGTTGGTCGGTTAAATTTATTCCTGTATCCTGATTGGTCCAATCGAATCACAGAGTCTCTAATTGTTACTTCTATATTCTCATAAACTCCATATTTCCTTGAAATATAACAAAAAAACACACTTAAAAGCTGTGTCATACTCTTCATTGCAAAGAGACGATCACACTGATATGTAATTCCATGCATAATCCCATGTCGGAACAGTGCATTTCATGAAATAACAACTCGGACGAAAGAGGTCGCGTAAACACGTCCGTCGGCTGCAGATGATTTCAATAGATAGATAGATAGATAGATAGATAGATAGATAGATAGATAGATAGATAGATAGATAGATAGATAGATAGATAGATAGATAGATAGATAGATAGATAGATAGATAGATAGATAGATAGATAGATAGATAGATAGATAGATAGATAGATAGATAGATAGATAGATAGATAGATAGATAGATAGATAGATAGATAGATAGATAGATAGATAGATAGATAGATAGATAGATAGATAGATAGATAGATAGATAGATAGATAGATAGATAGATAGATAGATAGATAGATAGATAGATAGATAGATAGATAGATAGATAGATAGATAGATAGATAGATAGATAGATAGATAGATAGATAGATAGATAGATAGATAGATAGATAGATAGATAGATAGATAGATAGATAGATAGATAGATAGATAGATAGATAGATAGATAGATAGATAGATAGATAGATAGATAGATAGATAGATAGATAGATAGATAGATAGATAGATAGATAGATAGATAGATAGATAGATAGATAGATAGATAGATAGATAGATAGATAGATAGATAGATAGATAGATAGATAGATAGATAGATAGATAGATAGATAGATAGATAGATAGATAGATAGATAGATAGATAGATAGATAGATAGATAGATAGATAGATAGATAGATAGATAGATAGATAGATAGATAGATAGATAGATAGATAGATAGATAGATAGATAGATAGATAGATAGATAGATAGATAGATAGATAGATAGATAGATAGATAGATAGATAGATAGATAGATAGATAGATAGATAGATAGATAGATAGATAGATAGATAGATAGATAGATAGATAGATAGATAGATAGATAGATAGATAGATAGATAGATAGATAGATAGATAGATAGATATATAGGAAAACAGGTGCAGGGATAGGTGACTACATGCATACCTAGATGGAAATATAGAGGAAGGGCTTTGGATGCATACATTGATAGATAGTACTTAACGAGTCTTATTCTAATTGTTTCTTTAAAAAATGCATTATGGTTTTTTAAAAAGATTATGCCGACATTTTTCAAGTACAAAAATCTACATTTATTAATGCGCAAAGTTTACACTTATTCCAAAACAGCCATGCCGTCTTCTTTTGGAACATCCGCTTAGCTCTTCATCTTCAGATCATGAATTCTGGTCTGAATATATGGGTTGCATTACGCAAATTAAAATGAAAATATGTGATTAAACAAAAAGTAGACAGTGCTAGAATTACACAGGTTAATTAGTAAAGAATAAAATTTCCCACAAGGAACGTATATTTAATTATGATCCACAACTGCTCATTATCAAGTGCACGCCAACTGTGGCTGTATTCCGACTGGCCATTCGGCAAGAAGTCTCGCATTCAAGCTGACAATCTTAACTTTGGCCTATTTTTGAGGTAGAGCTTATATCAGAGACAGCCTGAAAAATCGCGCTGTTTTTTTTTTAACAGTTAGGGAGACAGATCGGTAAATAGACTAGATTTGTGAATAGATGTATTTAGACTTGAAAACAGTCCAAAAGACTGACACAGTAGAGTAGATATGTATGTTTGTATTCAAGTATCCAAAAAGGTTTCAAACAAATAAACAGGAACTAAGACAGACAATTTTACTGACAGAGCTGTCGAACACACAGACATGCCAACTTACAATCCCCCTGTTTCAGGAAAGGGTTGCAGTTGCTGTCTCTTGGAGCAATAAAGTCCATCCCATCGCCCTTAATGCACTCAATATCCAGACGAGACCTGCGCCATTCTTCCTCGCAGAAATCCTGAAAGTGAAGTAACTAGCTTAAGGCAAACTGTGATCCGGTTTGATGTTCCAGCAAATGAGTGTGAAATTCAATGAATGCAGGCAGAGAGTTGCGCCGATGACATGGTAGAAAGAGGATGTTAAAGTGATGATGTCACAGATGTTTTCATTAGGCCATCCTAGACGAGATCAGGTACTACATGTAGAGACAATTTTCTAAGACTTTTGCTGTTATTGCATGTTATCTAAGCATCCTCCTCTTCCTCCTCCTTCTCTTCTTCTTCTTCTTCTTCTTCTTCTTCTTCTTCTTCTTCTTCTTCTTCTTCTTCTTCTTCTTCTTCTTCTTCTTCTTCTTCTTCTTCTTCTTCTTCTTCTTCTTCTTCTTCTTCTTCTTCTTCTTCTTCTTCTTCTTCTTCTTCTTCTTCTTCTTCTTCTTCTTCTTCTTCTTCTTCTTCTTCTTCTTCTTCTTCTTCTTTTTCTTCTGCTTCTTCTGTCTGTCTGTCTGTCGGTCGGTCGGTCGGTGGGTCGGTCGGTCGGTCGGTCGGTCGGTCGGTCGGTCGGTCGGACGGTCGGTCGGTCGGTCGGTCGGTGGGTCGGTGGGTCGATCGGTCGGTCGGTCGGTCGGTCGGTCGGTCGGTCAGTCGGTCGGTCGGTCGGACGGTCGGTCGGTCGGTCGGTCGGTCGGTGGGTCGGTGGGTCGATCGGTCGGTCGGTCGGTCGGTCGGTCGGTCGGTCGGTCGGTCGGTCGGTCGGTCGGTCGGTCGGTCGGTCGGTCGGTCGGTCGGTCGGTCGGTCGGTCGGTCGGTCGGTCGGTCGGTCGGTCGGTCGGTCGGTCGGTCGGTCGGTCGGTCGGTCGGTCGGTCGGTCGGTCGGTCGGTCGGTCGGTCTGTCTGTCTGTCTGTCTCTTTTTCTTTTTCCAATACCTGTCTGTTCTTGTATTGTATATAATATTTTTACGGCTTCAGTGTTTATTTACATAAAAAACTCAGGGAAGTCTTCCCAGTCGTCTTCAACCTTCTTATGTGTGACAAACATCACATCATTTTTAAGTCTACGAATGCGACTTTAACTTGTGTATGACAAACCTTACCTTGTTTGTCAGTCTCCGAATGCGAGGTAAAAATGTAACTTGTCTGTGTCAAACCTTACCTCGTTTGTTAGTCTACGAATGGTTCTAAAGTTAAACCCGCCGCTGAACGGGCAAAAACTGGCTTCGTTGTTTTTGGGCGCTGAAACATAAACATAGGGATGGTAGTGAAGTTTTATTTTTTGGGTTTTTACTTACGAAAATATAACAGCTAGATGAAAATTAAAATTACAAATCCAATGGTACCTCATTTAAGCCTGTAAGTCGATTCTAAGCGGAGATATTAACATTTTAGTGGCGGACACCACGACAGAAAAATTGTAGTGGAAATCCATAAAACATGGCTTCCGGTTGCGACCCAGTGAGATGAAATGACTCAATGTTTGCATTTTACGGCCATAACTTTTTTGTTTCTGAACGAATCCCTTAGCAACCATATATTGCTAGAATCGGGACAGTGAGATCTAACCGTTTATGCATGTCTCAATTACATACACTACGATATGCGCCTATTCAACATAGGAAAATGTCTGCAGGCTGATTATTTTTCATCTAAAACCTTATACATTTACAGTTGTCTGCCAACGAGCCTGGCTTAAAACATATCATATTGTGTGTCCTGGCAAGGCGAACATAAAGATCATATAAATGTGCCAATGTCAGTTGACGTGACCTAATTAAAAATTCCGGAACCCCCCCCCCCTTTTGCAACAGCGATGTCACCCGGGGTGGTCTATCTCTGCACAGTAATGACACCTGGGGTGGTTGTTCCCCCCTCCCCCCCCACAGTGATGATACCGGGATGGCCACACCCACTTCCTGCTACCTTCTTTCCCTGGTATCTCTCCTCTTCTTTCTTTCTTTTTCCTTTCCTTTCTTTTTCCCCAACTTTCAGTGTCGACTTTCTTTTCTTAGTCTCTTTTTTTATTCCTCTCTCCTCATCCTGCTCCCTCTCTTTCTCAACTTTCTCTCAATCTTCTACTGCCCCTCCCCCCCAACTCTCCGTTCTGTATGGTAGAAGAAAACATGAGCCCACTGGTAGTACACGGCCTGTTTTCATAATGGGTCAGTGACAGTGTTAACAACAGGGCAAACACAACAGGTGTGTTCATTTCTGGGAATCAGGTCAGGTCGGATTTTTTTTCTCTTTCAAAAATGACCTTGGCTCCCATGTCCACCCAGCATTGAATTTAAGAAATAGATCTATAGCAGCCACACGCGGACAGCCAAGCATGGGAGGGTTGCCAATGGGATTTTTTTCAAACCTGAAGCTAAGCTTATGTCAAGAGGTGAATCAACCAAACCCTGCACAGTAGACTCGTCGTGACGTTGACGCCCCTAGCGGGCAGGTCACATTTCAAATTTAAAACCGTCCGGTGGGTATATAGTCAATTATATTGATATATACCTCTATCTGGTGGAACAGATATTTCTATACCCTCTAGTTGTTTTGAAAAGTCTACATTTTCAAACTTGCAACTGTGGGATAAATATTTTCTGGAATAATATCCCGAATACCTGGAAACCTTTTTACTCCTTGGTGTACTTATACGGGACTTTTTTTTCTAGAGACGCAAAGCGAGATCAGGCAGGGTCATTCTTTGCCTGACTTCCTAGGTGTGCAGAAGTATGTCACCCCTCTGATTAAATCTTGGCGCATTCAAAATACCAGTTTAATCTTTGAAGGATTCCTAAGCTTGGATAAGTTGATTATAGTTTACGAGTACCATGATATATGTCTCTATAAAGTTAGCCGCTGCTGCAGGGAGGAAAGATTCAGCAGTGTGACCGCACAGAACTAGGTTGTTCTTGGTGTCCAGACACTCAAGGCCCTGAAATCAAACCTTTCCCTTCGCAGGCTAATAGTTTGTGCCCTACCTGACCCACACCATTTTAAATATATTAAACTCAGCAAGTTAATTATTCTCTAACCAGCCGACAGAGTTTGTGTCAAATAGCGGACATATTTAACTGGGTCACACTTCAGCCAGCTAGGCACTGTGACGTTAGAAGTTTTTTTTTAGCACAACAACACTGATTATGCAGTGGGCAGAATGTGGAGGTATAAAATATATATATATATGTGTGAGAGAGAGAGAGAGAGAGAGAGAGAGAGAGAGAGAGAGAGAGAGAGAGAGAGAGAGAGAGAGAGAGAGAGAGAGAGAGAGAGAGAGAGAGAGAGATGGGATGTATATCTACAAGTGCAGAGGTGGGCGAGGAGAGTTGATGTCCTATGTTTGATAGAGTCCACCTGTCTCTACTCTGCTTCTCGTCTCTTGTCCCTGTTACTGACTGAACAACAGAGATGATATTTAGAGATTTATACTGTCTCATTATCCTGAAAACTCTCCTCTGAATGATTACTAATGTGGATGTTAATAAACTGAGCTTGACATGTAACCCCTGAGATGACTGCTAATTCTGAGTTCCTTCTTGATACAGAATGGTATCTCATTGGAGGCCAGGCAGTGAATCAGCAGTCCACAAAAACACCTACAAGGAAGTCACCAATGTCCAAGCCAGTGGTGGGCATCCAATTGTAAACCAAACTTTTGTCATCCATTAGGGAAATCCTCCAGTTGGTCTATGGACAACATAATGGGTGTTGTACCTTCACCATCATTTATGCGGAAGCTTGTTTGTGCCTCAAGTGATTGACTTGGTACCCGAGATCCTCTCCAGGAGCGTGGGTGTATCACCAGTGTTCGAGTGTCTAGTGTGGGACTGTCTTCAACGTAACAACACAGTGGCTGAATATTTAGCAAGTTCAAGAAACCAGGGATTCAGATAAGTGTGGTCAATTGGTTTATTGCCGGGCTTCACTGTTAATCGTCCACATGATCATGATGATGATCTAGGCGGACCTTGGGAATCTCTCACGCATTCAGTCAGATCTGTTTTGAAGTTTTTGTCCTTCCTATCACTCTGGGTTCTTGAAGTTCTTTGCTGATTCTTATATAATGTATGTGTTGCATTTATTACATGTTCAGAAAGTTTCATTATTAACTTGAGTGTCCATCATTCACTGTTCAAACTGTCTAGCTTTTATGTTTGTGTGATTAGTAAGTTTAATCTGTGTTAACATGGCTGTGATAGTATACTATCATATCCTGGAGGCTTTCTTGTTATAATAGTAGGGGTGTCCAGCCAAGTTGCGATTAGGATTAGTAGATATTCTGTAGTGCCAGAACTTAATTTGCCCTACTCCTAAAATAAGTTGAGAGTATATTGGCCAATACGAGCCGACGCCTCAACATTATTTTATTTCAGAGTTCTGTTGGTTCTTAAGGAGAAATCCTTAAATCAGGCACGCGACACGAGCGGTATGTGACAGCTTACCAAAAACTTAAGCAATATATAAGAAAAAAAAATTGACAAATAGTACATATTTTATAGTTAATTTTATAATTACGAAATGAAACATTTACCCACTTTTATATAAGGATATATATGTTAAAAAAAAAAAAAAAAGATTCCAAAATCTTAACCCAAGGTGTCGTAAAAACCCAGTTCTTGGGGGAAAGACCAAGTACTGGCAGGCCTGATGAAAGGGAACGCTGTCAGCGCTGCTGTTGTTTCTCGACCACTTAGATTTACCAATTCCGACTGAAAATTCCGTGGATTCTAAATAATAACAGACGTATTAAAAAATGCTACAAGAGTTGTAGATGTTTAAAAAGTAACTCACTTAACATTATTAATTTACTAAGTATGTGAAGTAAATTACTAAAGAATAATCTTAGAAAATGCGCAATGATGGCCGAAATTAATTATTGGGATTTGAGGGTGATCAGGAAAAAAAATATCCAACAGAGAATGCGAAGGGCTCTAAATAATGACAGATGCATGAACAAATGCTACAATGGTTGTGGATTTTTTTTAAATGATTAAAATAACGTTAGCTAATTTAAAAATTATTTTAATTATAAAGCGGGAAAAACGGTCTCCTAGTGCAAACATATTGAATTCAAAGCCAAAACAGTGATGCCACTAAACAATTTTTTTAAACATGTGCTGTATTGCCAATCTTTGTGAAATTTCCCACACTTATATAAAATTTAACGCAGAATTCAAAAATACAACACACATTGCGGTAATCTGGCTAATTAAAAAGATATTTACGAAATTACTTACCGTTAGTGGTTTTAAAGCCAAAACAGTGATGCCACTAAACATTTTTTTTAAACATGTGCTGTATTGCCAATCTTTGTGAAATTTCCCACACTTATATAAAAATTAACGCAGAATTCAAAAATACAACACACTTTGCGGTAATCTGGCTAATTAAAAAGATATTTACGAAATTACTTACTGTTATTCACTGCGTGCTGCCAAAAAAAAAATCGATTTATTTTATACGCGTCAAAACCATCTCAAGTCAAAGCCTGGCATCTCTACAATAACTTCTTATAACTTTTCCGATTTTATCTTTCACGTAAAGAGCACAGAAAAATAATTTCTGAATAACAGACAATTGGTTTTCAAATTTTCGGGTCGCAATCGCGTCTATAGATACCGACGAAAATGTATAGCAAAATAAACGAAACAAAACGATCCATTGCTATACCTACATGATAAACAATATAATACAATGTATGTCTATTATAGAAATGTACATTATTATATGAAAGTGAATGTCGGCGTCTGTGGCTTAGCCTTTGCAAATGCGCTTTGAAATGCCGGGGTGCTGGGTTCGATCCCAACTGCCGACGATTTGTCTTTGCGTTGGTTTTGACAGTGGTACCGAGAACTGACCATTCTGAGAGCAATGGCAAACCACTAAACGTACAATTTGCCTAGAAAAAAACCCACAACAGCCAAAATATCCTGGGTTGGTTATGGAATGTCATGTAAAGGAATCGCAACTAACATTTTAAAAATATTTATTATCTCAGCGAGTAGCCGTGGTGCAGCGGCACTTCGCTTTCCTTCCGATCCGTAGGTCGTGAGTTCAAATCCAAACAGCGATGGACTTTTTATCAAAAATGATCTTGGCGACCCAGCTTTAAAAATGTGAACCAGGTACAGTCCTGGGAAGTTGAAGTGACCGGTAGGATGCTGATAAACACCACCCATAAAGTGCTGATTGGTCTATACAAAACAGGTCTAGCCCTATATGCCCTTGAAGACTGGAAACAGTATCCTTTACTTTGCTTTTACTACTATTTTATCATAGGAGATTATATACCTCGACCCAGCCTTGAGTGGGTACCGGGTGCAGTCCCGGGAAGTAAAGGCGATCGGCGTGATGCTGACTACATGACCCATCTTGTGCCTATCGGTCTATAAAAATATAGGTCTAGCCCTATATGCTTAAAGGCGTGAAAAATGGTCCGTTACGTTACTTTTACAACAAGGTTATATTACAACTTGTTTATATTAAATCACCATAAGACACTACATTGTTTAAATAGTTTCTCTCAATGTTGTCCCACTCCAAAATCAACATATCACGTGAAACTACAACTTGCATTTTTTGGTAATTCTAATAGTCACACATGCACAAATCCAACTACAGACTCTGCCACACACACACACACACACACATATACGCGCGCCCACACACCCACCCACCTACACACACACACACACGTATCCACCACCCACCCAATCTCCCCCCCCCCCCCGCACACACACACACTGTAATGTTGTGAATTCCCGTGGAAATGCCAGAGAGTTCCCGATTTTGGGGGGGGGGGGAAACAAGGTCAGAGGTCCAATAAAACAACTCACACACACTCATACCCACACACCCTCACACACACCACAACACAACACAGCATCATCATCGTCATGTGCCTTGCCGATAAACATAGCCGGTCATGTTTTACACGACCTCCACACATTCACCAGAATCACTGATCGAGTCAGTGTTCTCACCCCATAATCTAGCCAAGCCATCCATGTGTTTATATCTTTGTGTTTTGCTCTCTCTCTCTCTCTCTCTCTCCTCCCCTCCCCCCCCCCCCAATAATAATCTTGCTAGTCGTCTCCAACTTCTCGAGTTCATTCTATCTGATAGCATCTCCAAACAAATACCGACTGACCACGTCTAAATGCTCGTACTAATTTAGGTTTATATGTATGGCACATACTTCAGACTCTCATTTTTAAGCACCTTCTCCTTCTATATGTATCCACTTTTGAAGCTCATCTATCTGTCATGTTTACCAGAAAATAATTCATAATACTTATAATAATTGTTGCTTAAAAATACGCTGGGACTTTTTCTAGGGTTATGTTTTGTTTTTCTTTCTTTAAGGGATACCGAAAGCTACATTTATTCTTGAGACAATTCTACATTTGTTCATATAATGTCATGTCATCTTCTTCTGGAACATCGTCATTATACTTCAAATAACTAAAACTGTACGTTGAAGCATGCACCACGTCCGTTCATTGTCAAGTGTGCACCAGTGTTGTCTGTACTCCGACTTGCCATTCTGCAAGAAGTCTCTCATTCTAGCTGACAACCTTAGCTAGGGCTTATGTTTCTGTAGGAAAGAGCTTATAGTAAAAACATCATAAAAATCGTCTAGGGTTTATTTTGGGTTAAGTGTCATTTCCTCTGTAACACGGTATCTACGTACATGTGCATCTTGCGATCTTCCAACATCCATATCTCTGCAGCCGGTTTTGCCATTTGTGGGTCGCTGTGAGAAAAGAGGTTGTAAGTTCCCATGCTTAAAAGCCGCATGAGTATTGTGCTCACCGCGAAGTGTGCAGGTCATCATCAGTCAACAGGTACTTTACAGAACGTCGCTCTCGTCACGGCACGCTTGAAAATCTTTCTTACTTTAGCCAATTATCCAGCCCTATGTGCTTTCATAGCCAATGCACCTTCATTGTTTTGTATCGGTTCTTCCGTAATATACTATCTACATGACGTCACAGGACAGTCAAACATTTTAGAGGGTGGTAAGACTGGGTTTCCCGGCTTTCTGATACTTTTAACGACTCCAAAACATCTAGAACTGGCCATAACCCCAACCCACCTACGCCCCACGAGAGAGCGCAGCCTAGGTCCCACGACTGCATGCAGCCTAGGTCCTACAACTGCATGCAGCCTAGGTCCCACGACTGCATGCAGCCTAGGTCCCACAACTGCATGCAGCCTACCTACCATCCCCTGAAATATTATACTGTCCCGTGACCTGTGGATTTCCACTGTTTGGGGTAGGATTTTAAAAAAGCACCTTTGTATCCACCTTCTCGGTCCTGTTTTCCAGAAACTGTGCCGTCCATCACCATTCTCACAAGACCACTGTTGCGTTGAACATGACCAAAATACTTCAGCTTTCAGGACAGGATTCTGTTTATGTGTGCAGGTAGGATTTTTTTTTATTTTTGGCCCTATCGAGGATCGATCCTCCCTGTCCGAAGGTTCTGCATGAGAGCCAAACGTTCTAACCACTCGGCCAACGTATATACCAAAAATTCCAATGGACACATACTTCCATGCAGCATTTTCAAGTATATCGATCTATCCTGTTACACTGCTCAACCTTTACATAGCCCTTCGCCCACCTTTGATATATCTCCACTCCCACCCTTTATAAACTACAAATCCTGCCCTTCTTAATTTAAAATGCCACTCCCAGATTGGATATCACTTCACTCCCACCCTTGATATAACTCCGCCATGCCTCCCTTCCACCCAGGGAGATACATCCCCTTCCCAACATCGATATAATTCTACTTCTGATATAACTCCACTTTCTCTGATATAATTACACTTTCTCTATGATAATTCCACTTCTACCTGTAATATATCTTCACCCATACCCTTGACATAACTCCAGTGTCTCTGATATAATTACTCTTTCTCTGTGATAATTCCACTTCTACCTGTAATATATCTTCACCCATACCCTTGACATAACTCCAGTGTCTCTGATATAATTACTCTTTCTCTGTGATAATTCCACTTCTACCTGTAATATATCTTCACCCATACCCTTGACATAACTCCAGTGTCTCTGATATAATTCCACTTCTTTTTCTGATATCCCCACTCAAACACCTTAAAACCAGCCTTAAAATAACTTCCCTTCCATCCTAATATAACATTACTTACACACTTCACATAATTACACTTCCACCCTTTAGTTAATTCCACTTCTACCGTTTGCAAAACTCCACTTCCATCCTTTACAAAACTAAACACTCCTCATAATTCCACTTCCACCTTTTACATAATTCCACTTCTACCGTTCGCAGAACTTCACATTACATCTTTTTCAAAACTCCAGACTTCCACTTCCACACTTCATACAACCCCCTCCCCCTCATATAACCACTTTAACCCTTCACATAAATCAAAGTCCACCTACGATAAAACACAGTTGCCAGGGCACTCACCGGTCCACGGCCACTCGTCCAGTCGAAGTCCGCCACTGTCACAGAGATCTGGATCATTTGTGTTACTCAGGGGTCCTTGACAATATAAATATATATATACAGTTCAATTTCATTGCATATATATATATATATATATATATATATATATATATATATATATATATATATATATATATATATGTGTGTGTGTGTGTGTGTGTGTGTGTGTGTGTGTGTTTAAAAAATAATACATCATAATACAAATAGATGAATGCTGATACTGGCTGAAGCTTTAACATTAAAAATGAACAATCCCCAATTTTGTAAACAGAAGGCAATCGTTAAAAATTCAAAGTTACCCTGGCAAATCAGTTGGCACTTGTGAACTTAGGCGATTAGATGGACAGTGCATGGAGAGAGACTACGTGATTTCAATTTCAGTGGAATTAATTCATTTTCTCTATTTTATTTAAACGTTGATATATCTTGTATGGTAATGCACATGACGAGATGCAGCGGAATATCCCAGGCAATATATTAAGCAATTTATTGTGTCCCCACTATTTAAACTCACTATTCCCCAACGTGATCACTGATTTTGTCTTTTTTTTTCTCCATATAATTCCTCCTAGACAATTCGTTTCTGTCGCTTTGATTTTTCTTTTTTGTTCTTTTGCTGTTAGCCACCTTTGCGTCCTAGACAATTTCCACCGTATTACAGATAATATTCATAATTATCTGTTTGAAAAGAGTATTTATCAAGTATCAGACACTGAAATCATATACCATGATCTATTGGCCAACGAGTGACTCTGTTAATGTGTTTTTTTTCCGGCTAACGAAGATATTCTTTGCTTTTGTTCGACCTTGGGTAACGAATGAAGATTCGGCTAAAGAATGTTTCGGTGAATGAGTCCGCTAACATAATGCGGTCCCTTTGTGAGCTAGGGTTTCACGATAATCACGGGGTGTCCTGTAGAAGACAGAACAACCAATTTTATTTGTGAAGAGTCACATAACGGGCACGCAGGCCAGTCAAATCACATACTAGGCACGCAGGCCAGTTAAACCACATACAGGCCAATCAATCTGACACTGTCAAAGGAAGCTGTCTTGATGGATAGTTTGATAGAAAGATGGTGTAATAGAAGAGACAGACAAATAGACAGGTGAACGAACGATCGAACAAAAGAAGTTTATTTCGAAAGGTAACAAACTGGCCAGGCGGGCCAAATATTCATCTTTCGTGCAACAATTGTACTTTATCCAGAAACCATGTTGTGTTCATAAAACGGTATATATGATATACAAATGAAGCAGTATGGATCGTGTCGGCGTCTGTGGCTTAGGCGTTGCGAACGCGCTTCGTAATGCCGGGGTGCTGGGTTCGATCTTAGCTACAGGCCTTGCGCCTTGCGTTAGTTTCGACAGTGGTATCGAGAAGCCGACCGTCCAGTAAGCAATGGCAAACTACTGGACGTAAATTTGCCTAGAAAAACCACAACAGCCAAACGATGTTGGGGCTGATTCTGCTATGTCCTGTAAAGGATACGCAACTAACTTTTTGACTTAGTATGGATGGTAACTGCCTTTTTATACCATCTTGTGTAAGCGTCAGATTTCATGTGGGTTCCGGGCCCACTGTGGGGTGAAACAAGAAAAGCCCCAGTGCGCGCTAACAGACATGTTGTAACAGTCGACCAGTTAAGGGTGTTTCCATCCGAGTAGGAGTGTCTCTGTCTGACAGTATGGAACAAATAGTCAGCATATAAATATGCCAGTTTTGTGAAATGGATGTGTACGCAAATTACGTTCTGGAACAAGACTATAACGTCTATAAGTGGACGAACAACCAAAACTTGCCCCTGCAGTTTACAATCGTTGATCGCTAAGAAGAAGAAAACATCAAAGGAAGCGGGGAAGAGAGGAACAGAAGCTTCTATGAACACATTTCATAAAGGGGACCCGATGAATTACTTGGTAGATGAAACAAAAATATAGAGGTGTTGATTTTCCTCTGAGATGTTTCATTTCAGTGAGTTCGCGTATTTTTGTTTGTAATTGTTACATTATTGTTGTGTACTGATGAAGACTTTGTAGCCGCAACGTTCACATGTCCTTCCTGGTTGGATAATAGGAATTGCCTAGTTCTACTTTTCTGTTGTTTTGATATCTTTCTACCATATTCACGAATCTATTCTCCATTGTGAAATTAAAGTCGCCAGCATCGTGGGATTATTTAAACGTCATCATTTAACATCATTACAAAGTTGATTATTCCCGTATCCCATAACGCACTTACAATTTTGGTAACAATTCGGCAAAAGTATATTTCCCTATCCCACTAGTCCATCTATTTCCGAACATCTTGGAAACCATACGACAGGGGAAATAACCCCACAATCAATGACCGTTCTAATAGAATATATCTATAACTAGATCGCCATACCTTCTTTACTTTCTATCTGCCACTACGAGATTAATCACCCTCTCCTTGGGAGATTCTTGAAGTGGGAGGAAATATCGAGTTTGACTCAGTGCATTCGTTTCCTGTATATACAATTTCTGTTCGACTATATAATGACCTCTACACTTGTGGTCTCCCCTTGATAAGGGAGTTAATCAAAATTATTTCATTCTTAATAGGAAGAGATTGTAAAGAGTAAAGATCCGTGATAGATAACATATTCTTTAATTCCGTGTTCGTTATCGCAGTCTTTCTGTACTGGGCTTGTAGTCGAGGCAACAATTTCTCACTCTCCTAATTTAAAAAAAAAATTATTTTTGTTGTTGGCGTCTTTCCATATTTCCCAACGATTTCCACAGCACAAGCCTGGACTGTAACGTAAAGACCATATGTTGACGAAGCAACATGATCTCCCTTCCCGGCCGGCGTTGTTTTCCCGAGAAGAGACAGGTTAGACAATGAACAAAGCTAATTCAGAAAATTTGATTTCAGGACTTTATTCTGCAGGTACCAGTACCTGATCAGATGCAAAGACAAGCTTTAGTGATAAAGTAAGGCGTTTGGAAGACAGTCTTCATGAATACTCAATCAGCTAGACAACCAAATTCTATACTGCAAAATTTTGTCAAAATACAAGATTGCTGTATAGAATCATAAGGGAAAATGTTTTAGCAAAGGAAATCTACCAGGCGTCGAGACTCAGGTTCAGTAGATGACCATGAGACAGGAAACCAAACCACCAGTAATAACAGCACGAGAGGGACCAGGTTTGCAGCAGAGATGAGCACAGGGATGAAGAAGAAACAATCCTACGTTCCGATCTCAGCCGGCGATCAGACGGAGACGCCATTGATAGAAAATAGAATAGTCCGAGAAAGGCAAACAATCAGAAGTCACTAAAACAGAGCAAACCATTCAGCCAGATGTTCAAGATCGGGAATCTGGAAAAAGTACGCGCCATTCTGAACGTAATCGGCCACCGTCATTCTATGTCATTTCTACGCTGAGATGTAGATGTGCTGCTGTACCACAGGTGATGCTGCACCAGAAACTGGGTTCACACTGGTCAAGTCGAGGCCTTACTACACCTCTCCGTGGTCATTCTATAAACACGTTTTCAACCAGCAGACTGTAAAGTGTTGATAGGATCTACGTTTTGTTTAAAGTAGTTCATATTCCTGTGAGGCCAGGAACTAGTGGCTCGACCACACATAAGTCAGATCTGTGACACTGATGTACCAATGGAATTTTGGAACGAGACTTGCCCATAAGTGGACGAAAACCAGAACTTTTCTTTGGTGTTTACATCCATTGAAAGTCAAGAACATGAATAATATTAATAATAATAATAATAATAATAATAATTATTATAAAAATACGAAGAAGAAGAAAAAGAAGAAGAAGAAGAAGAAGAAGAAGAAGAAGAAGAAGAAGAAGAAGTTTGAACAACAGAAAAACATCATGGCACACGGGAAGCAGCCCATAATAATGATAAAAATAATGATGATAATAATAATAATAATAATAATGATAATGATAATACTAATAATAATAAGAATAAGAAGAATAAGAAAAATAGGAAGAAGAGGAGTATTAATAATAATAAGATGAAGACCTTTGAAGTTTGAACAACGGAAAAACATCATGGCACACGGGTAGCAACCCATAGGTACTCCGTTCTACTTTTAACTCAAGAGTCTCACGTAGCCTAGCGTAATGCACGGGCTCCGTAGCACCGGTGAGGATTCTGAAATATGTTGGATAGATTTTTAACTTTAAATTATGCCCATACTACTATTTGAGATTCCAAACTGCCAAGGGATTTTTCACGTTCGCAACATTACACACGGGCGTCTAACCTCACTACCCAGAGACCAGTGGAAATTTCTAGTAGCCCTCACTGGGGCCTAAACCCGGGACCTCCAGCACGCGAGGCGGACACCATACCTCAAGATCACACAGCCCCCGAAGATGAAGAGGAAGAAGAAGAAGAAGAAGAAGAAGAAGAAGAAGAAGAAGAAGAAGAAGAAGAAGAAGAAGAAGAAGAAGAAGAAGAAGAAGAAGAAGAAGAAGAAGAAGAAGAAGAAGAAAAAGAAGAAGAAGAAGAAGAAGAAGAAAAAGAAGAAGAAGAAGAAGAAGAAGAAAAAGAAGAAGAAGAAGACAACTATTGACAACGAAGAAGACGAAGAGGGGGTGAGGAAGAGAAGGCAGAGCAGCACCAGCAAACGACGATTTCCCATGATGATCATGTATTAGGTACTTTGTAGAACATTGTTCTAATCACAGCCTGCCTAAAAGAAACTCTTGGTCACTGTCACGCCTCTTGCACTTTCCTACCCAAGTTGTCAGTTACATCCTTTGCCCATGTTCCTACTGGTCGGCCCCTGCCATTGTGTCCTGGCTTTCCTGTTCTTTCCTATCCCTCGTGGCGCTTGATGTGACTAAAATATTCCAGTTTCCTAGAAAAGATGCTGTTTACCAGCCAATCTTCCTCGACGTTCAGATCCGTCAGGATGTCAGAATTTATGTTCCTCTTGTTCCATGTTAATCACACTTTCTATAGCAATGTCATTAAAAGTCTATGGTTGAGCATCAGCAAGGAAATAAAGTTAAAATTTTGAGAGCATGA